TACCACGTAATTTCAGTATTTTCTATATGCACATGGCTCGCTCAACCTTTGTCGTTATCGCGTCAGCTGTGAAGGCGCGGGGGCCCATTTTACTTATCGAAGAGAAAAACTGCAGAAAGCAAGCAGGAAACGGCTCAACCATTTGACACCATGTAAAATAGTGTCAGGCAAGTCTTCCATTTCATTGCTGATACTGAGTTATCCTGAACAAATGTGAAATTGGAGTATTGTCCGCGTCTCACGAGGGCACCCAAGCCTGATTTAGTTATAATTAGATATTTAAATTGAACCAAGAACAGATAAGTTATGAAGAGGTTTATAACGTTATTTAAATCGATAGGTCTGAGAGAGAGAGAGAGAGAGAGAGAGGAGAGAGAGAGAGAGAGAGAGAGAGAGAGAGAGAGAGAGAGAGAGAGAGGAGAGAGAGAGAGGGATAACACAAGAAAACACAGATGAATTCATACATTATTTAATACAGTACAACTAAATTTTATTATCTTGCCCTATATCACTATAGTGCAGTGGTTGAGCAGTCGCCTCTAAAGGACAGACTCGGTTCGATCCCCGACGGAGACCACTACTTATTATCACAAATCCGTGTTCTCTATATTTCTTTACAATCATCATTTTTTATCTGGTTGCTTATCTGCCTTTATCCTTTTACTTCACACTGCATATTTTTTCGCTGTTTTGCTTTTCTGTTCACTATCACATGTATGTTTAAGAAGACAGCAAATTAGCGAGAAAAATTCCATGCCACTAATATTTAAATAACGCAAAATACACTCTTCTCTCCTTCATTGCCTCTCCTTTTCTCTCTCTCTCTTCATATCCCCTTTCTCTATCTCTCCTTCCCTCGCAAACACATTCTCTGTCTTTCTCTTTATATATCAGTAACCCCCCCCGCCCATCTCTTTCCCTCTCCCCCCCTCTTTTCTCCTTCTCTTCTCCCCCTCCTCTCACTCATTTCTCTTCTTTCTTAATCATTTACTGGAGCAGTATTATTATTATTCATTAATCCAATATCATGTCATCATTTTATCACCGTTTATTGTAATTTCAATTAATATTAACAATGCTGTAATAACTATACATAATAATAATAATCTCTCTCTCTCTCTCTCTCTCTCTCTCTCTCTCGCTCTGTATTTTCGTCTGCCTGCCTGTGTCTCTCTTTTTCTCTCCCTCTCTCTCTTGGTCTCCCTTGTCTCTTTCTCTATATCTTTCTATCTATCTACCTATCTATCTCTGTATCTATCTATCCATTTATATATATTTGTTGGTGTTTTGTATTTATGTGCGTATATGAATATTTTATTCCACACAACCGCGCAACACATACACACGCACACACACACACACACACACACACCACACACCCACACACACAAATATATATTATGTATATATATGTATATATATATATATATATATATATATATATATATATTTATATATAATGTCACTTGAGCACGAAACAGCATCCTTCTTTGATGAATATACCAAAGGAATTCCCAATGACCATGTTTAAATATATACGCTTACCTCTTCACTCCTATGACCGCGTGGCCGAGTGGATAAGGCATCGGATTTCGGATCCAAAGTACGCAGGTTCGAATCCTGTCGCGGTCCATATGTTACGCTATTTTTTTTTGTCGTGGCTTTTAATCATAACAAGGACATCATTTATTGGCCACGCATTAGATATAGATGAATAAATGAAATAATAGATAGATAAATGCACACATATATATAAGTTGTATATATATAAATATATATACATATATATATATATATATATATATATATATATACATATATATATATATGTATATATATTATAAATATATATAATATATGTATATATATATATATGTATATATACATATATATATTATATATATATTCTATATATTATATATATATATATATATATATATATAATATATATATATATCTAGTGTGTATATATAATATATAATATATATTATATGTAATTGTATATGTATATATGTATATATATATATATATATATATATATATATATATATATATATATATATATATAATATTATGTGTGTGTGTGTGCATATATGTGCGCGCGGCTGTGTTGTGTGTATGTGTATAAATGTATATATAGTATATATATCATATATATATATTATATATATATTATATATATATATATTATATATATGTGGTGTGTGTGTGTGTGTGTGCATATATGTGCGCGCGCGCGTGTGTGTGTATGTGTATATGTATATATATATATATATATATATATATATATATATATATATATATATATATGTGTGTGTTTATATATACACATATATATATATATACATATATATATATATATAATATATTATATATATATATATATATATATAAATGTATATGCATTTATATACATTTATATGTATATACATATATGAACATCCATGTACATATTTATATTTATATTTGTATATGTATATATATATGCACATATATGCAT